TCTCTCTCTCTCTCTCTCTCTCTCTCTCTCTCTCTCTCTCTCTCTCTCTCTCTCTCTCTCTCTCTCTCTCTCTCTCTCTCTCTCTCTCACTCTTGGGCGTCATGGTGTTGTGCTCATACGTCCGGCATACAACAGCTTGGGGGGTCGATTTTGAGATGCTCATGTTTTTGGTGTGGTTGTGTGCCATGTGCCCTGCTGTGCTGTGCAGGCGAGATGGTGCAGGATCGTTTATGGAGGCTGAAGGAAAGCTCGATCACATCAAAGGGATGGGATTCAACACCATTCAGGTAAATCAACCTTTGCTGCGCACATTGAGTCATTTTTGTACCTAAAAGAAAAATAATCAGCATAAGGTGGTGATTGATTTTGCAGTCCCGTTTCCGCAGCGCTCACGTGAGGGAACAGAAAAAAAAAATGAAATGATTTTTTTTTTTCAGAGCTGGCCATCTCTGGCCTTGTCCTTTCCTTTGTCACAAGAAACAGTCTGCAACGATTCAGATTCTTCGAACTTGTCTGAGGACGAACTACCGTCTTCACCCGAAAGAACATCATTGTCGTCGTACGGGTGTCGGTGGAGGACGGTTGATTGTCTGAGAGCTTGGCTTTCGATTGAGAGCTTGACTTTCGCCTGAGGACGGTTGTTTGAGAACTTGAGGTTTGACTTTTGATTTTTGACTGAGCGATTGACTTTTGACTGAGAGATTGACCTTTGACTGAGGACTTGACTTTTGACTGAGGACTTGACTTTTGACTGAGGACTTGACTTTTGACTGAGAGATTGACTTTTGACTGAGGACTTGACTTTTGACTGAGGACTTGACTTTTGACTGAGGACTTGACTTTTGACTGAGAGCTTGACTTTTGACTGAGGACTTGACTTTTGACTGAGGACTTGACTTTTGACTGAGGACTTGACTTTTGACTGAGGACTTGAGGTTTGACCGAGGACTGAGGAAACAGACTGTAGGGGGAGGGAGCACGAGGGTGTACCTCTACATACGGTCTGGAAATGGGAAATCAGAAGATCTGTAGACTGTAATGTGTCTTAGCACCAGGGTGTACCTAGCCTGACACCCAGTCTACATACGGTCTAGAAATGGGGAATCGGTGAAGATTTGTAGACTGTAATGGCTCTTGGAACCAGGGCATATCTAGCCTGACACGCAGTCTACACTTGGTGCCGGTTCACCACCATCGTGACAGCTCCTGTGAAGAACACTGGACATGGGGGCTTTTTCAAGTTGCTGGAGAGTCCTGACCACATCTGCTATTTACCTAGATGTCCCTGTCTGCACTACTTTTGTCTGTGCGTGCTATAGTAGGCCAAGTTAGACCCTCCCAAATTGCTTCCAAATTGCTTTGTCGAGCTCAAACCCGTTTTCACCCGAATGGATTGCACGGTCATTATCTCAGTATCTGACCTAAAATTTGCACCAAATTCAGGAATGACCATGCGTCCTACTCGGTTGAAAGATGGTTGTCATTGCCCCCATTTAATATTTTATGGATTCTTGCCCCTGAGTCTCTGTACCTGTCCTTTGCGGCATCCGGTATTAAAACTGAGGAAAAAAACAGAAAAGGGTCTGTGCACTTGTCTGCTACCCTTCAAAAAAGGTTCACGGATAAGTCCTCCTTCCAGCCCCAGGTCGAAGCACAGCATAAACCCCCCCAAACAGCTGAGGACAGCAAGCTTATTTGGCAGAATCTGATTCATCCATCATAAACCATCCCCGAAAACAAATAATATTAAATATTTAGTATTTACTATTTACTAATATAATAGTAATATTACTATTTATTTATATAAGTGTCAAATCCACACATACCCCCCAAATCTCAGCGAACATATGTACCTGCCCCAGCAGAAAGTCAAAAGTCAGACCTACTGGAACTCAGATATCTCTCGAGAGTCGGGCCTGTAAACCTCGCATGGGTGCCTCGTATTTTCTTCCATTGCCGTTGGGGTTTAAGTGGGGTTAGTATTCACACACTACCGGTTGGGACCGGCTATACAATCATTGTCTATACGCCGGACCAGCTATACTAACATTGTCTATAATGTCTATAATGTATTCAAGCAGATAAGCAGACATTATCCAAACCAACAAACCAAACATTATGCAAACCAAACCAAAATTTATCCAAACTAAACCGAACATTATCCAAACTAAACCGAACATTATCCAAACTAAACCAAACATTATCCAAGCTAAACCAATTATTATCCAAACATTATCCAAACCAAACCAAACGTTATCCAAACCAAAACTATCTGAACCAACATTATCCGAACCAAACCAAATATTATCCAAACCAAACCAAATATTATCCAAACCAAACCAAATATTATCCAAACCAAATATTATCCGAACCAAATATTATCCGAACCAACTGGCCTATCTCAGTTGGTACACCCCAGAACTGTTGAAATGCAGACCTGAGGGGGAACGTCACTGGGAGCAGACGAGTAAAATACCACAGTAATTCTGAATTACCTAGTGCGGGTCACTTCAACGATGATATCTCAAGGCCATTGCCCCTTATAATTAAAAGAAAACACACACACACACACACACACACACACACACACACACACACACACACACACACACACACACACACACACACACACACATTATCCAAACAAAACCAAACATTATCCAAACAAAACCAAACACTATCCACACCAAAAATTATTCAAACAAAACTAAACATTATGTTACCCAAACAAAACCAAACATTATCCAAACAAAACCAAAATCATCCAAAGATTCCAAACTGAACATTATCTGAACAAAACGAAACATTATCCAAACATAACATTATCTAGCTCAAGCATTATCTGAATGTTACGTACTGAATACTTGATCTTAGTTATTAAGCCAAAAGCCAATCAAAGAGCGTAATTCCAAATCCTCGTTGGCGAAACATTGGTGCGACATGTCATTGAACCATCCGTGAAATGCATCTGGGTATGCTGTGTGTCTGTGTGCATGAGGTGAGTGCATGGTGCGTGCCGCTATTGGGATGTGCTTGCTGGATGTGCAATAATGTGTTAGATCCTTGGGGAATCCCCTTTTCTAAAAGTTCTGCGATTGTATGATGATGATTCTGACAAACGAAAATGACAATGGCGAAACGTGTATGTGCATGCAGCTCATGCCTGTGCATGAATTCTCTGGAGAGTGGGGTTACAACCCTCGCTTGCTCTGTGCAATCCATCAGAAATACGGCACACCCGAGCAGCTGCGCCACTTTGTGAACGAGTGCCATATCCGAGGTATGGAAGCAAAGGGATTGGTTTTCTCTTCCTTCACCTGCCTCAGTTGTCGGAGGCTTCAAGACCTTCGGGGGCTGGTCTGTGTGCTATGTGCTATCATCTCTCTCTCTCTCTCTCTCTCTCTCTCTCTCTCTCTCTCTCTCTCTCTCTCTCTCTCTCTNCTCTCTCTCTCTCTCTCTCTCTCTCTCTCTCTCTCTCTCTCTCTCTCTCTCTCTCTCTCTCTTTATGTTGGTGTGTTTCCTTCAGCAGATGGAAGTTTTGAACAATACTGTGCAATCCCTGCCATTAACCTCTTAAGGTGTATCAGTTGTGGGTCCATTTCCATTGGATGCTGCGCAGCACGCGATCTGTTTCGTCATGGATGCGCTACTAAGCCTACGATCATTGATAGACTCCGTGCACAGTTCAGATTGACTGTCATGTTGAATGAGTAATTTAGAATCTGTGCATATCTGCAGGCTCGTTGTTCCTGGACGTTGATCTGGAATCCTGAAGTGTTCATGTGGGCGTTCGATATTGACACGCCATTGTTTTGCATGTTGCTTTCTGTTCTTCTCGCTCTCTGTTTTTCGTCTTCTGTTGTTTCCTTTCCGTTGCTTTGGTTCTGTCTCACTCTCTTTTGCAGCGTCTGTTGTTGTTTTCTTTTTTTTTTTCCCCTTTTTGGTTTTCAGCTTTTCAGTCATGTTTGACCATCTCCTTTTCCTTTTTTTTTTTTTGGGTTTAATAAAAGCGCCTACCCTGGGGAGCAGCAGCCCGGTTCCTTTTCCACCAGCAAGTAAAAAATGAACACTTCTCGACCACATGCTTCCCCATGTTTCTGCCCGGGCAACGCTGACAGCATTGATTACTTCCCAGCAGGAATGACTGACTGACGGTCGAGCCCATGCCATCGTTGATTACCTCCCCCTCTCAAAAGTACCCACCGGGTCCCACCCGAAGAAACATACCTGAAAATCAATCAGCCATCTTATCCATCTGCTTCACCAACTACTTCCTAAACCCTATAACTCCTTAAACCTCACCTCCTTTCTAAACCTCTAAACCCCTCAATTTTTAAACCTCACCTCCTTCCTAAACCCCTAAACCACCTCCTTCCTAAACCCCTAAACCCTCCACCCCTGTCTCAGGCAGTGGCCAAGGCCACGCCCGAGGTCTCCACTTGTTTTTCATGCTGTCTGTCACGTCCTGCAATGACCGCTGCGTGCGTTATATCTCGTCGTGTTTCGTGCTTCTGCCTCCCAGGTCGTGTGTTTTCGTGTCCACCAGTGGTTTTTCGTGGTTTTGATAAGGACTGCATTTCACACACACACACACACATACACACACACACACACACACACACACACACACACACACACACACACACACACACACACTCACACACACACATTACACCGGCTTAAATTTGGTTGGAAATACACAAATGCTACACGAACAGATTGTAAATATTTTGAGTCGGTCCTGTAATTGAGGATGTGTTCCTACAACTTGACAAGCTTGTGATGGTCTCCTCAGGTATTTGAGCTTCTGATGTGGTGGTTGGCATACCTGGCCATAGCATGAAAAAATAGGATTATTAATTTATTACCATAGCATTGTTTTCATTGTAAAAAAAAAGAAAGAATGATTCCCAATGTGTTTGGGGTGAAAGAAAAGAACAAGGATCATGACAGACCAGGAAGCCACAGGAGGACGTGAATTCGGACCTCTCCAGGTCATCGCATATGTAGGAGGACATTACAGCGAAGCTTCCAACCACAGCTAGGCTAGACTTCGACCGCCCCCTGCCATTGGAAGAAGTGACATAGACACTCTCAAGGCCTCGTTGGCAAAGGTCAGCGGGATTGGACGGCCTCGCTGTGGAGTTGTATACCGCAAATTGGGCGGCTTTCATCGCACTTGCACTTGACTCGTCAGCCGGATGATTCATGCACATTCTGCAGAATCCCCATGTCGATGTCTTGAGTCATTAACCCCTGTCGTAAGTGGATGGCCAGCTGGCGACATCACAAACAGCAAGAAGGAAAGGTGAGGCAGCAAGGCAGCAAACAGCAAGCAACAACAAATCACATTTGGCCGGAGGGCAGGGGGGAGGCAGGGGGCAGCCTAGGGACGAGGCAAGCAGCAGGGCAGAATGATGAGCAGTGAGCCAAAAAGACAGCGAGGCAACCAGGCTGTGAGGGACAGGTAGGGATGAAGTGGATAGGCAGTCAGGCGGTGAGGCAGCATATGGGGCAAGTGAGAGGGCAGACGAGCAGCACTGACAAGCAAGAGGGCAGGACTCGCGAGGGAACAAAAAAGGTCAAGCAGAGGGGCAGCCAGGCAGCAAGGCATCAGTCCTCCATCGGAGAAGGAAGTTGCTTTGTGTGAATGACTTTCATCCCCCAGGAAACACACAGACACGCCCTGTCAGCATCCAGAAAACAGCAGCCCCTGCTAATAGTGTTGCAGGCGTGCAAGTGGGCACTGACTATTTGGCACATCTTGAAGATTCTGAATCGCGGACCCACAGGAGAAACCCAAGAAATGACCAGAGCGTTAACTACACCAAAGACACGGGGATATGTGGATAAATGATTGTGTGTGTGTGTGTGTGTGTGTGTGTGTGTGTGTGTGTGTGTGTGTGTGTGTGTGTGTGTGTGTGTGTGCCACAAATGGTGTGTCAGGCCTCCGTGAAATTACCACCCTTCTCATACCACCAGATATCTGAAATATTATACCAATGCACCTTCATAACAAGAACACTAAAAACCCTATGTGTAACGGGCGCACTCTGAAATGGAAGGCAGGAAATGACTATGCTGAACCATAAGAGCAGCCAGCGTCTTGCATCGACTGCAGTTTGCGAGTGAACCAGATTACACACGATCATACAGTACAAAATGAACACAGCAGTCGTGGTAACCGACTGTTGTAAGTGGACCGGCAGCAGGCGACATCGTGAGTAGCAAGACAAGGGTGAGGGATTGAGGCCTTGAATGGCAAACAAAGTAACAGGAAGTTACATAGGGTGGAGGGCATAGGAGAGGCAGGCGGGCAGACCAACGTAAAGGGGGGAGGGCAGCCAAACACAGGGAGGGATGATGAGCATCAGGCAGCAAGACAGGGCGGCAGTGAGGCAACAGGCAGTATGATGAGGCAGGGGCGAGCAACACATGAGCAATGGGCAATAGGGGCACGGCATAAGGAAGCAACGCACAGAGCAGCGAGGCAACAAGGCAGCGAGTAGGTGATGTTCTTCTGTGGTCTTCGGATTAGGAGCGGACCGCCTTGTCGATGCTGCCTTTCTGCTAAAATGCAACAGACTGTATGTTCCCACCACCAATCGGAGTAGTGAGTCACTCCCAGGAATGTCTGTCATCACCCACAGAACACACAGATACGGACATCCGGAACACAGCATGAGTGTTACAGGCACGCCATATAAATGGCCACCGATTATTTGGCACTTCTTGAAGGTACTCGACTTAGGTACTAGGAACTTGTGGGAAAAAGGCCAAACAGAGCAGCACTTAAGGAGCAAACACAGATAAACCAACAAACAAGCAATGTGAATGTGAATGTGAATGTGTGTGTGTGTGTGTGTGTGTGTGTGTGTGAGGCCTTTCGGCACAATAACCCTCTTTTCCGCCCAGGGTGTGAAATTCAATTATAATTTACAAGTTAACTCTTTCCTGCTGTACAGTGGACATTTATTTGCTGCGAATTTCAGTCTTCACGCTGACACACAAACACAACACCCCTGCCGGCATTGCACTTGTGTGCTTCGGCAGGGACTGTCCTCTCTAGTCTCCATCACATCTTTTTTTGTTTTTTTTCTTCCCAAACGCGGAACATCTTCTGTGTTTTCATTTGCTGTCTTTTGAACCTGCGGTGTGTATGCAGAGAAGAGGCGAGGCAGAATGAACAGGGAAGACATTAAAAAAAAAAAAAAAAACGTTGAGATGGATGGATGGATGGATGGAGGGAGGGAGAGCGAGAAGAAGTACTGCCTTAGTGCGGTCCCTAACGCTCCCTTAACAGAAGAACGATGGCTGATGTAAATGATCGCTGATGAATCACTTTGTGTGTCTGTGTCTGTGTCTGTGTTTGCGTGTGTGTCTGTGTTTGCGTGTGTGTCTGTGTTTGTGTGTGTGTGTGTGTGTGTGTGTGTGTGTGTGTGTGTGTGTGTGTGTGTGTGTGTGATGATGTGTGTGTGTGTGTGTGTGTGTGCTGATGTGTGTGTCTGTGATGATGTGTGTGTGTGTGTGTGTAGCATGTGTGTGTGTGTGCCTGTGATGATGTGTGTGTGTGTGTGTGTGTGTGTGTGTGTGTGTGTGTGTGTGTGTGTGTGTGTGGATGGTGGTCGGTGTTTGCACACAGGCATTGCCGTAATCTTTGAGGTCGTACTTAACCATATGGCAACAAATCTGAACAGGTTTGCTACGGCGGGTTCGCTTCCCTGTCATTTGATGTGCACATGGTCTGTGAATTATCCTGTAGGACCGTGTAGGTTCAATTGTGGAAGTGGCCAATTCAGCCCAATCTGGAAGCAACCATATGACCCCGGCTTCATTCGATATTGCTGGAGCCTCGCCCGATTCCTCTTCCAACAGCAAGTCAAAAGACCACCAACTTTTGTATTCAAATTTCGAATGGATGATCTATTTATTAACAGTTGGATGTTTGTTCCCTTCAGCCACGTGGGCTTGAGTAGTCGAAGAGGGAGTAATTGCAATTCAAATTCCAAACAATGCAGCAACTTGGGACTGCATGACATTGGCCGGCGATGTTGATTGCCCTGGTCCCTCTTATTGAAAAGAGGCTCCAGCGCGCACCGCTCCGCTGTTGCTTGTAATCATCTGGAAACTGTTGTATGATATTTGTATCCTCCTTTCAAAAGGCGCTTCAAGTTGATTCTGCAGAAGCACACGTGACCGTTCGGCTTGTTATAAAACTTATATAACATTTGTTGTATTCATCTGATTCCATCTGCAGCAGGATGCGAACTTTTAGTGCCATCTTCTTGAGAGGAGGAATCACCATGAAAAATGGACTGTTGTCGACCGGTTTCTCTGCAGCACTGAAAGTCTGAAACTTTGTTTCAAATTGGGGAAAGTAGCTGTAGTTCGTTATGAGCAGCAACGACTTTATAGACTCTGTAGCGGAGTGCGGAGTCCAAAGTAGCTGTAGTTCGTGATGAGCAGCAACGACTTTATAGACTCTGTAGCGGAGTGTGGAGTCCGGCTGGTGGCCTAGGTAATTTTCAATTATTCAATTATTCAATTATTAATTTATTAGTGTTATTTAATAAGTATTTTACTATTTTGAATATTAATTGAGATGCTTGGGGGAATGGGCGGTTGTTTAATATGCGCATGTGACTGAAACAGAGTCAATTATTATTTTCCCTCTCTGGTGGACTTGTTTTTTGAACTTGTTTCTTTTCTTTTTTGCAGCCTCTGGGCATATGATGGGCTCAACACGGAAGACGATGGCGGTGAGTACATGATGATTATTTTCCCTCTCTGTCTATCACTATTCACAAATGGGTAATGGGGACCACTTTTCAGCCCATAGTTTCCCCCTCTGGGCCCTCTCTCCCCCCTCCCCCCCCTCCCCCCAAAGACACATTTTTGAGGCTCCTTTTTTAAGTTTTTTTCAACATCTTTTTTATGGTGTCAGTCTATTTGTTCTCCTCTCTTATGCATTGGTGAATGTTTTGGTTTCAATTTTGAAAAAAAGGTTTTGGGACTTTTATTATAAACACACTGAATAACATAACCCTGGAAAAATGTCAGGGCCCACTTTATGGCTTCTTTGTTGGGCATGGCGGTGAGTATTCCCCCTTCAAACATTTTGCCTGTGATTCTGCTTCTGCTCCATTGTGCTGGCTCTAAGCCATTTTCTTCCCTGCCAAGATTTGTAGTTGTGAATAAGGTGTTCTCCCTCTCATTGCCATCATCATTGCCATCGCCATCGTCGGAGGAGGTAGCGGAGGTAGGTCGCCAACCTCCTCCGAGGATGGTGATGGCAATGATGATGGCGAGGATGGAAGTTTCAAAATTAAAAATTCAACGAAGAAGTCAGAGAACTATTCGCCATACCATGCAAGTAAAAATAAGAATTATAGCAGTAATTAATAATTATTAAATATTAAACAATAAGAGTAATATTAAATATTTCAAAATAAGAATTGTAGTCATTATTAATTTATTAAATATTTACGATACAAGTAAAAATTGTAGAATCATGTAATGACGGTGATTATTATGAAGATGATGATGATGATGATAATAAAGATGGCAATGTGATGGTGATGGTGATGGTGATGGTGATGGTGATGGTGATGGTGATGGTGATGGTGACAATGGTGGATGGCAACGATATGGTGATGATGATGCGCCAGGATGTTCGACCTTAGCGCTTCAATGCTTGACTGTATTGCGCACTGCTCAGTATGTATCAAGCTTATATAGGCTCAGCATATGCGTTCATGAAATTGGGCATCATCATCATCATCATCATCATCATCATCATCATCATCATCAGCAGCAGCAGCAGCAGCAGCAGCAGCAGAAGCAGCAGTAGCAGAAGCAGCAACATTATCATCGTCATCATCATCATCATCATCATCATCATCATCATCATCATCATCATCATCATCATCATCATCATCATCATCATCATTAACATCATCATCAAGTGGCAGCAAAATGATATATGTTGTCATCGTGTGGGACATCTTTGGTATGGTAATATATGATTCGGTACTTGCACTGCTTGTCGATGCAGGTCTGTACTTCGACAGAGCATTCGACACGGGTTCTAGCCGCGGTTTTGCGTACGAAGAACGAGAGGTCCGGGAAATGATTTCGGATGCGGTGCGGATGTTCCTATCTGAGTACAAAGGTCAGACCCCCTTTCCTCCCTCTCCACCCCTCCCTTTTCTGGGGCGGCCGATCCCCACAGGACATACATTACCTTGTTCCTTACCTGTCTACCCCATCATACCCTCTTATCCCTTCTCCACTCTTCTTCTTCTTCTTCTTCTTCTTCTTCTTCTTCTTCTTCTTCTTCTTCAGCATAAGTAAATATACAACCCACAGAGAAATGAGATAAACCAACTAATCTTGCTTCTTCTTCTTCTTGCTGCCTCACCTTCCCCTGATGTTGCTTGCTGCCGGTGCTGCCAGTGCTGCCCTGCCTTGCTGCCTCACCTTCCCCTGATGTTGCTTGCTGCCGGTGCTGCCAGGGCTGCCCTGCCTTGCTGCCTCACCTTCCCCTGATGTTGCTTGCTGCCGGTGCTGCCTTGCTGCCTCACCTTCCCTTGCTGCTTGTGATGTCAACAGCTGGTCATCCACTTACAACAGGCGATAATAACACACCCCCTGCCTCCTTTATCTATTGGATTGAGTTTGGCGTTCCACGTCCTCACCTTTTTGGAATGTGTTGTGTGTTGTGTTTGATTGGTCGGTGAGCAGCGGATGGGCTCCGCATTCATGCTGTTCATAACACGCCGCGTGAAGTTCTTGAAGACATGACCAGCACTATGCACGAAGAGTTTCCGGGGAAGATCCTCATCAGCGACGTGACACCGGAGAATCCGAAGATCGTTAGTCGAACTGGCTTCGACAGTACAGTCATCCACTCCACGTACTTCGATATGCGCAAACACATGCGAGGAGACCTGGATGGGAGGAAGCTGGAGAAAGCGATCGGGCTACATTACGGATTCACAAAGCCCACACAGGTGAGTGAGTGAGAAGAGTAGATCTGACTGCAGACTGTGAATATGGTGGGACGGTCGGGGGGGACCGGGGGGGGGTGTGAGGGGGTGGTTAGCGTTCGGGCGGGGTGGGGGTTGCAAATATGGAGCGAGAGCAGTACACATCTCCAGGTTGCAGACTACAGAATCTGATTCAACAAAGACCAGAATCATATTACCTGTTGTGTAGTGAGTGTAGACTGCCTATGATCCTAAAAAAAAAACTGAACCGGAAACCAGCTTCTCCACCGCCGAAGACGATCATGAAGCCATGCACAGTGACTCTGTTAACAGGTGTAATTCTCTCCCACAGTCCAGTCTGTTTGTTTGTTTGTTTTTTAACTTTTTTTATGCTTTTTTATTTTGTTTGTTTTGTAACTTTTTTTATGTTTTTTTTTTTTTTAATTTTAAGTTTGGCTTGTAGGTGGCAAGTTGGCAACAAGATACGGTGCTGATGTGTATAGCAGCTATAGGTCTGGAAACAGTGAGGAACCTTTTTTTTTTTTTTTTTTYTTGTGTGTGTGTGTTGATGGACCACAGATCAGATATTAAACTGATCATCAGAATAGATACATTGCACTTGATCTTACTTAGCCAAAGGGCCGAGAAAGGTATTGAAACAGTGAGGATCCTCCTCTTTGTCCCCGGGCAATTCAGAATGATTCCATTATTTCTGCTCGATGACATCTGATGGTATCTGGATTCGATGTTGAGTTTGTATTTCCACAGTTCGTGGGTGTGCCAGCAGAGATAGTCCTTTGTAAACTCCTCTTAATTCTGACACTGCATTTCTTGCTGTGGTTCTTTGTGTCTGTTTTTTTTTTTTTTTTTCCTCTTCTTTTTTTCTTCGTTCGTGCATTTGTATTCATTAAACTTTATTTGGTTTATTGAACTGTATTCGTTTATTTGACCGTACTGCTCTGGTTGTATGATTCAGTGCATCAAACACTTTCTGGGAGCGCATGATCACATTGGCGACCGGAACGATGGAATGTTTGACGCCGCCATAGATGGATTTCACAGGCAAGTAATTTTCACTAATTACCAATGCCGCAACTGCAATGTTGAATCTGGATTGTCAGGCATGTACGGTGAGCATGCTCTCAATGCCATCTGGGTTGTTCTGCAATTGTGGTCCAATGCACTGACTCTACTGAGCATGCCTGGCAAACCGTCTTCCACCGAACATAACGCATATGCGGTGTGTAATTCGAGTTTTCAAGAAAAATAAGAATGAAAAAATCGATGATTCAAATAAGAAGTTAAGAACGCATATTATGCGTTGCATTCGAATAGAAAGCAACCTATGGGTTGTTTTTCGTTTACATATTATATTACAATTCACAACACATATGTGTTGTTTTCGGGGGAAAGCGGCAGGGCCTCCATCTGTTCATCCTCCTCATCCGTACAATATATGTCCTCTGTCGCGAAGCACAGACGGATTCTTGAACCTATTCTATCCTTTCCTTTGCTTTCACCTTCATTCCACACTCCTTACTTTCCCTTTTAAGTTTGTCGCTCTTTGTTTACTTTGTCTTGTCTCCACCTCTCTTCTCTGTGTTTATTCCCTCCCCATTTAGTAGCCTTTACTACTGAGCTTACTCTGCCGCTTTCAGTGTACAAGTGGGCGGTTATGACTCACGGGGATGCGGGCAGATCACTCTCATCTCTCATCTGCATCAATGGGGAGGCGAGGCTTGTATGTGAGAGGCACGGTGAAGGGCGAGTTAAGAGAGCAATGAAAAATAAAAAAAGAGAGTAGGTTCAGTGTGCTCTTCATGCTTGTCTCGTGTACTGCTATTATTGTATCGTTTGTTTTGGAAGTGCGCTCTTTTAGTTCATAGATATGTTACAACATACATTTTTAAAACTGTATAATTGTTTTGACAATTTCATAATATTTGCTTCCGTGGATCCCACTCCTCTGTCCCCTGCTGTCGGTTCCAACTCCCGGTGCGAAGCCGCAATATTGCAATTCGTCCCTTCCCAGGGCCAGAAGTTCATTATTCCATTGCAGAACAGGGTGCCGGTCCCTGCCCAGGATGCAGCCCTGGACTTGCGGGGTAGGGATTGGCCCTTAACTTGGCCGATGTCCAAGTTACCATGGGTGATCTGCAAATCGCCGTACCAAGCACAACCGATGACACTCCGGCTTGGAATGTCACCTGGGTAACTTGCAGATTGCCCACGTGGCCTGCCTGCATCGGGCACTTACACCCCATGGTAACTAACAGAGTGCCCGTGGTGACTTGCAGATCACCGATGGTAACTTGCAGATCACTGATGGTAACATGCAGATCGCCCGTGGTAACATGCAGATCGCCCGTGATAACAGCAGATCACCCATGGTAACTTGTAGATCGCCCATGGTAACTTGCAGACTATCACCGACATTAACTTGCAAATCGCCCAAGTTAACTTGCAGATTGCCCATGGTAACTAGCAGATCACCGGTGGTAACTTGCAGATTGCCGACGGTAACTTGGAGATCACCGGTGCTAACTTGCATGCAGTTCACCCATGGTAGCTCGCAGATCACCGATGGTAACTTGCAGATTGCACATGGTAACTTGCAGATTGCACATGGTTACTTGCAGATCGCCCATGGTAACTTGTAGACTATCACTGATGGTAACTTGCAGACTATCACCGATGGTAACTTGCAGTTTGCCCGTGGTAACTTGCAGCCTATCACAGCTGCAGTCTTAACTGCCCAAACTCTTTTGGCACTTGACGCTGTTCACAGGCCGGATGCGGATGGTGTGCTGGAATGTGCTGCTCCCTGGAGTTCCGACAGTCGCTCGCCGCCGGAGTTGCGAAAGCCGCTCGCCAGAGTTCCGAAAGTCGATTGCCGGATTTCCGAAAGCCGCTCGCCGGCGTAAGATATTAACCCATCTCAATGTGACACTGTGTCGTCTCCGTCGCCCACCAAGGACAGAATCCTGAGTCTTCTTCCTTTATTTATCTCTCTCTCTATGTCTTATCTCCCCGATGCACACACTCCCATTGGGCCGGCATGTCTGCTGTCCTCCATTTGCTTGTTCATCATTCCTCAGTGAGTTTGAAAGACAGGCCCGGGTTCCGACTCCATGGGGTTGGCAAACAAACAAACAATCAAAAAAAAAAAAAAACCAGGCCGGATGTGGATGGCATGCTGGAATGTGCTGATGGATAGGCGCTCCCCTAAACCCTAAACCCTGAACCCTAAACCAGCTGGAGTTCCGAAAGTCGCTCACCGGCGGAGTTCCAAAAGCCGCTCGCCGGAGGTCTGCCAAAGTTCCGAAAGTCGCTCGGTGGAGTTCCGAAAGTCGCTCGACGGAGTTTGGGGAGCTGGATGGCTGGCATGAGCTGACGGATTGGATTGGATTGGATGGTGTGCACTGTGCATTGACAGGTATGCTGTGGACCTGTTTGGAGGAAGAGCGAAGTGGGAAGCAAACGCAGCGGCGAGGGCCTGGTACATGGTGATGACAATGTCAGCAGGGATTCCGCTGCTTTTCATGGGCACTGAGTTCAGTCAGGATGGATGGTGGGGCGTACAGCCTGACGAATGCGTCAACTGGGAGAAAGCAGGTGAGAAGTCTGTGTTTTGCTGAAATTCTTCAGATCGGATTCACCCCTACATCCACAGCAGCTTCTAATGGCTATTTCAACCTAATAGTATTAGTAGGGCAATTTCAACGAGAAACCAGAGTACATACAGTCTGATACACAGGCAAAGACAGAGGAGAGAGATGGAAGGGTGGGGGGAGTTGTGATGAGAAAATTAGCATGTGAGAAAAGATAGATTGACAAACAGCAGGGGAGAGAGAGAGAGAGAGAGAGAGAGAGAGAGAGAGAGAGAGAGAGAGAGGTGATTACCATGTCTCTGTTGCACACACATGAATTAATGTTTGGTTTTGTTTGGAGGGACAACGATGTCGTGTGCCTCATGCAAATGATTCTTGCTCTTATTCTTTTGCTTTTCTGAAGTTCTAAAAGGAAAAGTTTGTGAGGCAATGATGTGAGTTTGTGACTCTCGTCGAGAGCGCCGCCTACCTTCATTATCCTCAGACCTGTCCGATGAAAAGCTCCAGTCTGAGAGAAATTTCTGGCTTGTCAAATAGCCGGCGAAGAGTATTGAACCGCTCGGCAAACATCATGAGCTTTTCTGTTCTTTGGTAGACTCGTCCTTCTTAGCAGCGACATGAACCGCGTGTAATCGTTCTTTTTTTCTTTTTTTTTCTTTTTTCTTTTTACCTGCTCATCATGAGCATCGCTGGGTCTTCCACCTGCCCTCTGACTCCTTTCTCTCTCTCTCTCTCTCTCTCTCTCTCTCTCTCTCTCTCTCTCTCTCTCTCTCTCTCTCTCTCTCTCTCTTTCTCTGTGTCTCTCTCCCCCCGTGTGTATGTGTGTGCGTGTGTGTGATATGCAGAGGATGACACAGGGAAGACAATGATGAAACTAGTGAAGGCTGCTAATGAGTTCAGAAGGGAGAGCCCGGCGGTTCTGCATGGCACAGTGGATGTGGTGCACTACGATGAGAATCATGGAATCATCGGCTTCTGGAGGAAGGTACGACCGACCACACTTATCACAGCATCATTTCATGTAATGTGGAGGGAGGCCTAAGTTTGGCTATTGTTTGCCCAGTGTTTGTCACACTTTGTCTCCTCTTTTTTCTTTTTGAATTGTTTGTTTTGTCTTTTTTTTTTTTCATTTTTTTTTTGTTTCTCTCCTCTTGTGGTTGTTATTAGACAGAGAATGGTGCATGATGCAAAACAAGACCAGACCAGGTGCACCTGGGAAAGGAGGAAGGGCAAGGGTGGGTTTGGCTACCGACTTCCTCCAAACACAACAACACACCCTGATCATAAATGTACCCAAGCTATCTTTCCAGTCCGAGGATGCCTAGTGTTCGGGTGAAGAAGGTAGTTGATATGCATGATGGATGGTACACTGCAGCAATGGGACAGATGGTACAGTTGTGAACTTGGAGCAATTATGAGAGAAGCCATCAGTTCCTTCAACTGCTTTTAAGTTTGTGTTCAGGCAGATGATTTCTAACATCACCCTCCCTCTCTTTGCACACAGTAGGTGAGCGAGCAAGAAGATCACGAGCCAAACATGCAAACAACCTGTCCTCTTCTGTCCCTTGACTTCAAAGCAACTTCCACTAAGTTGCTGACTCAGAAGTCTTCTGCAGTAATTCCTCTGGTAATGGCGAAGTATATATGACAATCTAGCTATGCATTCAATTTGGCGCTAAGTTCGAGTCTGCTGAGCACATCAACACGCTGAGCTTGGGAAAGGAGAGCGAGAAACGTTAAGTGTGAACTTAGCGAGCAGACATATGCCGGTACCAAAGCTTCACCTTAGTGTCATGGCCAGAACGATCTACTAGTGTTTTCACCGGAATAGAACACACCTGGTCCTTTTTTGCTGCATCTGGACTGAATATTGGGCCAAATGCATCTATAATGACCGGGTGTTCTATTCGGGTGAAGACGGTAGCACCTCTTTTTCTCTCCTCAACCCAGAGTTACCACTACACTACATTTGTTGCAGACCGACTTAGACTGTCGTTCGTTTCCTCGGTCCTGCTACTGACACCTGAGTAGGACCGCCCGGTCATTACAGCCTCCTTTGGGCCAACTGTCTGTCTAGGTACGGATCATACAGTGGTAATGACTGGGCCTTCTATTCGCCGGATGAAGACAATGCACCAGATTTCTACAACAGTTGTGCAGATGCCCATTGCAGTTCACCTACGGTGTACCACTCCTGGCCTGTTTTCTGACTTGCCGACTTTTTTGTACGTTGGACTACTTGTGCAGATTTTGTGAAATCACTGAGTCAGACAGTGTGTGTTGTTAAACATTGTGCTTTTGCCATTTGGTTTTGTCCCTTTGTCTGTGCAGATTTTGGTTTTGTCCCTTTGTCAGCATTATCAATTGGTGTAGATAGTTTGAAAAAACTCCATGCTGTTTTGTCTGCAAGCAGTGCAGGGGTGGAAAAAAACCCTCAATGCCGTCACTGCACTGTCATCTGCGACAATTCTCTCCGAGACAAACGAGGGAAGTGATTTAAGTGAAGTGTGACGGTTACTTGGTACTTGACCACTATGTGGACTTCGTCCGTCGAGTCACCCCCTTCCACCCCTTCCTCCCTTAGTGTGTGCCGTCCTCCCCCCGCTCTGCTCCACTATATAATTGTGAAAAAATCAAAAAAATGCATCCATCCATGGATGAAGCCATACTAGCTGATAGTGCGGAAATCGTGGAGGGGTGCAGAGCCTGGCAACGACACTGGTACCACAGAGTACCACAGAGTACCACAGAGCACCACGGAGTACCACGGAGTACCACGGAGTACCAGAGAGTACCACAGGGCATTCCTCCGACCAGCGATATTGCACGGCTGTACCTGTTCTGATGCTTCCCGGGGCTGGAGGAGGGAGGGGAGGGAGGGGAGGGAGCGGAGGGAGGGGAGGGAGGGGAGCGAGGGGAGGTGGTAGGCAGGGGGGACGAGGTTGCAGTCCCCAACACTCCGAAAGATACAAATCGTGCCACAAACAACATATTATATAATAACCTGTAATAATAATCCATTTAAGGTAACATAGTTAATAATGGAACTTAATCAGTCTTAATGGAGTTTGTTGAGTCTCTCTGTGTGACACTGTGTGACACTGTGTGACACTGTGTGCGATTGGTTGACATGTCGTTTGTTGCGAAATTTTGCAGTCGGAGAAGGAATGGCTTTTTGTGGTAGCTAATCTGAGCAGCTACCAGTGGAGCGAGGAGGAGTACGAGGTGCGCGTGGGCAACTGCGGCACCGGACACAAATTTATCGAGGTTTTTAACTCCCAGGATGCGCAGTACGGGGGCTGGGAAGGATCGGGAAATGCCGGCAAAAAGTTGAAGGGAAATGGCCGTCGGATTAGTATCAATCTTCCCCAATGGAGTGTGCTTATCTTCGAACCAACGGACTGAAAGACCGGCGCCACGCACAGATGATGGATCATCGTCAGCTGATCTCTCTCGACGGGTGCGAACAGACCTGACAGTGTGCAAAACAGACCTGTGTGAAAGTCTGATAGTGTCAGTAAATCTACCTTATTCTTGTTCAGAAGGCTCCCTTCCCTTTTTTTTTTGGAGTAGCTATTTATAGGCCCCTTTTCTCAGTTTCTTACCTCTTTGTCACATATCCAGTGGAGGTCGCCAGTTCCAAGTCAGTGTGATGGATTCTACATGCGGAGCCATGATGCGAAGCTCAAAATTCTTAGATAGGCATGGTGGCTATGGCCCTACTATAGGGACATGTAGTCGTCATTTGACCGACAGCAGGGGGAGGGTTCGGAGCTCAAAATTATCAGATAGGCGCGCGGTGGCTATGGCCCTACTATAGGGAGCTCAACGTGTGCGTGTTAAGTGACAGTCTGGTTGACAGTAATGTGGGTGTCTGCAGTGTTTGCTCTCCCAGGATGGAGCTAGAGTTGAGGGTGTGTTTCTACTCCAAATGGGGGTTCTAGGGGTCCTGGTGTTGTAGGGTTGAGGGTGTGTTTCTACTCCAAATGGGTAAATTTAAATTGATAACTTAACAGAGTTGGGGGGATCAAGGCTTGTCTTTTCTCCCCGTCTCTCCCCCCACCCCTGCCTCTCCAACACGTCTTCTTGGTTACTTTGTTTTTATATTATTTTTTATGGTGCTAGAGTCCTTTTTGTTGTTGTTCGAGGGCACACAAGTCCTCATTCAACCGGTCCATGGTTTGTTGGACACGGTACGCCATACATGTGGTACACTGGTACCACAGAGTACCACAGAGTACCACAGAGTACCACAGAGTAGCACAGAGTACCAGATGGTACCAGATGGTACTAATATGTGGAAATGGCAGGAATCTTCCACCTGATAACCCATGATTGATCCACCATGAGCCACATGGCATGTCCACAAGGTACGGGATCATTGACACAGATCTGTCGGTCGCCTATGTTGTAATGATTGTAGCAGCCAGGGTGACAGACATATTCTTGTCTTGGGAGAGATGGAAGCCAGAGTCATTGGTGAGCTGGACAAGGGGGTGTCTGCCAGGGAGGAGAAGGTTTGACTAATCTCAGACTGAAAAGATGGGGGAACCCCCCCCCCTCCCTTGGATCTAGCCCGACGGAAATCCTGTCACAGGGGGTTGACAAGTAATAGTCCATTGGAAATTCTGTCACAGGTATCGGTGCACAAAGTTGGAATATCGAATTGAAAAGACAAGTCTGGATATCACACCGATTCACACGAGGATTTTGTGGCCTGGATCTAGACGATAATCACTGCTACATTCGGTCAAATAATGTTCTTAGGCTAGTGTGAGCTTGCCCTGAGAACCAAGTGGTGGTGGGGTGGAAAGGCTGAGGACGTGTTGCATCTGAACTTAGGACTGTGGATATCATGGCAGTGAGAGACGCGGTCAGGAAGACTTAGTATGGATGTGTAAGTCACAGGGAGAAATCAAGACCTGCTAGAGTGAAACTACAGAGTACCAGAGGGTGTATAAAGGCTCTGGAAGAAATCTGAAATCATCTGAGCAGGAACGGGGGGCGTACAGGTTACAACATACAAATGATCGAGTTCGGTTCAAGCAGGAGGCGAACGATTGCGACAAGAAGATCGGTGCCACGTTGTTGTCGAACATTGAGACACGGTGAGACTGCAGAGTCTGACTACCGTCTTTCACCCGATAAGAATGCCCAATCATTATTGCTGTATCTGGACCAAAAGTTGGCCCAAATACAGCTATAATGACCACTGGCAGGTGTTTATTAAGAATGCCCAATCATTATTGCTGTATCTGGACCAAAAGTTGGCCCAAATACAGCTATAATGACCACTGGCAGGTGTTTATTCGGTAAAAAACAGGTGTACGGGGGGGGAGCTCAGTTTTACTGGGGCGAGACTGAGAACTGAGAACGGAGAAAGAGTTTTTTTCTGAGGTAAAACTCAGACCTGAGTTGTGCTGGGATGCAACTGAGTTTTACTGCGGTAAAACTGAGGTTATGGGGATAGAAACGAAAGGTTCTGAAGTACAGAAGGTAGCTGTGGAGGATGTGGCGCAGGTGAATAATGAGCATCGCGACTGACAGCAGTTGACACTTGAAAGGGATGTGTGACATTGTGTGACAAAAACTTCCGTCATCACACTTTGGATCCAGCTGAGTTTTACTGCGGTAAAACTGAGGCTATGGGGATTATAGAAACCAAAGGAGGAGGAGGACACAGGTGAATAATGAGCATCGCAAAACTACAGGGGAAGAATTTGACTGACAGCAGTTGACACTTGAAAGGGANAAACCAAAGGAGGAGGAGGACACAGGTGAATAATGAGCATCGCAAAACTACAGGGGAAGAATTTGACTGACAGCAGTTGACACTTGAAAGGGATGCATGACATTGTGTGACAAAAACTTCCGTCATCACACTTTGGATCCAGCTGAGTTTTACTGCGGTAAAACTGAGGCTATGGGGATTAAAGAAAACCAAAGGAGGAGGATGACACAGGTGAATAATGAGCATCACAGAACTACAGGGGAAGAATCTGACTGACAGCCTCTGAAACTTGAAAGGGATGTGTGACATTGTGTGACAAGATCTTCCATTGTCACACTTTGTGACTTGCGGCGAGAATTGCACACAGCGGATCCGAATACCGGAGGAGGAGGTTAAAGCTCTTTGAATCTTGATTCTATAATGGGTGGTGGTGCATGGCCATGCTTAGTTGGTAGAGTGATTTATCTGTCTGGTTCCTTAAGATCTTGTCAAAGGAACCAGAGGAGGAGGTTGATTCCGTAAGACTCGGTATGTCAAAGGAACCAGAGGAGGAGGTTGATTCCGTAAGACTCGGTAAGAGGAGGCGGTTAAACTGAGAAAGTAGGCGGGGACGTTTGAGCTGAGAAATGCAGGTGTAAAATGTACAGAAAGGGGACTTGAGGTACAGTAACTATCACTTGTCAAAGGGAAGTTATCTCAATAACTTGTCGAAGGGAAGTTACCTCAGTAACTTGTGGAAGGGAAGTAATCTCAGTAGTATTGGGGATGGACTCCGATGGAGGCCTAGAGTGGCGACTGATGATAAATGCTTAAAGTTTGCTACTAAGTTTATTTATGGTCTAAGAATGACTGAGTTCATATTATAGACCGAATTGAAGTCCTTGCCCTTCGGACATGGTTTTCTTAAAAATGCTGAAGTCAACGACTACTCCATGCAGTGAAACTGAGCTGAGAACGACTCCGGCAGTGCTGGCAGGAGGGCTTTGAATGCCACAAAGTTAAGGAAAGTGGCCCAATGCATATCAATCAGTCAGTAGATTCAGTTCTGCAGCCCATCGTCATTGCTTATAAGGTCGGCGTTGCTGCCATCCCATCAACAGGTCGATGAATCGACGATGATCACTCCCCTCCGATGACTTAATCAATGGAACCATACATTGGTGCGCTTGGATCAGAGAACAGCGGATTGAAGCAGAGACGCTTGTCCTCAATTTTCCAGGCGTGAGGACACCAAGAAAGGTCGGTGAAGAAGATCAGCATTACTTTGCTAGTAGGGGCTTTAGGGGCTAAACTCTGGACGTTGATGAAAATATCAGATATGCACTTACTTTCCTGTTGCTCTTACTTTCCTGTTAGGTGTTGGAAAAGAGTAACAAAGATGGAGGCATTAGGATATGAGGGAGGAAAGTCTGAGATGACGTAGAGCATTGCTGTTTTCCCTTCTGTTCACAGCGCACAGAGTGTGGGATCTGTGTGTGTGTGTGTGTGTGTGTGTGTGTGTGTGTGTGTGTGTGTGACAGAAACAGAGCTGAGAAGGATAGCAGATAGTGAGAGGGAAAAGAGAGATGGGATGTATGTGTACGTGAAGCTGTGATAGACAGAGAAAGAGAGCAGATGAGGATGGCAGCGATAGAGAGGGAAAATAGGTCACGGGAGAGAGAGAGAGAGAGAGAGAGAGAGAGAG